TTCATTGTCCAGCTCTCACATGCATACGAGGTAATTGGAAATATCATGGCTTGTGTCATTAAAGCATCTAAAATGAAATATTAAATAGTAAGTAGATCACACATATGCCTTAAGAGAATAACCCAGAGGTTCCTGTTGCTACCTTTCTCACCAGTCCTGACCTGGAATCAGGAGAGCTTTCTGGAGGAAGGGATACCTGAGCTACAACCTGAAGCATGAGGAAAAATTGGCCCAGAGAAGAAAGGAAGGAGAGTGCTTGGGGCAGAAGAATCCACAGTAAAGGCCTAGAGGTCTGGGTCTGAGAGAGGGCTTGAGCAGACTTTAGTGTGACCGGAAAGTAACAAGGAAGTGATGAACAGAGTTGTGAGTGTGGAGAAGTGTCTGACTTGCTTATTTCACATTTGGATATTCAACTTTTGGGCACATGACTGTACTCTGGACACTGTTCTGAGTGCTGGGGAAACATCAGAGAACAAACTGTATGGAAATTTATGTCGTGGGGGATCTGATATTTGAGAGAGAGAAATAGATTATTAACAAGTTAAAACAAACACCCATGGGAGCAACAGTCAAGAAATCAAACCATGTATTGCATTGGATAGATTAGCTGCAAAAGACCTCTTGAAAGTGTTAAAGAGCACAGATGTCACTTTGAAAGCTAAGATGCACCTGACCCAAGCCATGGTATTTTCAATCACCTCATATGCTGCAAAATATGGACAGTGAATAAGGAAGACCAAAGAAGAATTGGTACATTTGAGTTGTGGTATTGGTAAAGAACATTGAATGTACCATGGGCTGCCAGAAGAACAAACAAATCTGTCTTGGAAAAAGTATGCTCCTTAGAAACAAGGATGGTGAGACTTCATCCTACGTACTTTGGACACATTTTATCAGGAGGGACCAGTCCCTGAAGAAGCACATCATGCAAAAAAGGGGAAGACCTTCAGCAAGATGGATTGATACAGTGGCCGCAGCAACAGGCTCAAACGTAACAACGATTGTAAGGATGGTGCAGGGATGGGCAGTACTTCATTCTGTAGTACATAGGGTCCCTATGAGCTGTAACAACTTGACAGCATCTAACAATATAACAACATTGAGTGGGAATTTCACTCGATGGCAATAGGTTTGGTTTGCTGTTTATAGAAGGTGGCAGGTGCTCTGAAGAAAAAGATTGCAGGGACAGGAATTAGGGGGTGCTGGGGGTAAATATTTAATACAGTGAACAAAACTGTGAAGGTCTCACTGAGAAAGTAACATTTGTGCAAAATCTTTTTGTAAAATGAGGTAAGGGTAGCAAGCCATTGATATCTCTGGGAAAGGTGTGTTCATTATTTTTTTTAATGGAAGGACAATTTAATTAGATCAGAAGGACTTAATGTACATTTTACATTCTAAATAAAATTGAAGCAAAATGCATATATACTCAGTGGGTTAAATGTGAATCCTCCACACTCAAACTTAGTCTGATTCTTTTCATTGAAATCTCTCAGATCCTTGCCCTTTCTGCAGTTTCCAAGACTGAGACTAATTATTAATCTTAGATTTACAGCATGGCTTTTCCTTTCCAAGAAGAGGATGACATCATCATTCCCCTCCATTATTTCTATCACATCAATTGTCACTCTTAACTTATCACTTCACTGCCATGGCAACCTCAGCCTTACACTGTTCTGGCCTCTTCCTTCTGTTTCATCGTCAGCAGGCCATTCAATTCATTTCTATAATCGAGAGTGTCTCTCAGTCTCATCATCATAAGTCTGCACAAGTAGGCCTAAAAACACTCTCTGCATGATGATTCGAGTCATAGTTTTACATCTATACCCTCCTCAAATTCTCTCATTAATAATTAAGTACACCATACTGTAGGTGTGCTGAATTTTTCAAGATACAGCATTTATTCTTATAGCTTGAAACAGGATTTAGTCTCTGGGACCAAACAAATTGATGAGTGTGGACTTCTGAAGACATAGTACAGAACCTTGAGACAGCATTTGCACTTACAGAGAAAAGAGATGAACTAGCAATGTCAGTTTAGGAACAGTAATAGAAATCAAAGCCAACTTGTCAACAAAGATTTAAGATCAGAATGATGGCAGCTGGCCTTTATGAGGCATCTTTGGGCAATGAATAATTTCACATAAATTATACTTCCAAATAACTAGGTTATTTCTTTGTCACACCCTTTTTAATTATGAGGTGGTAAACAAGATAATCACACTTTTTAGAGAAGAATGTAAAGTCTAGGTAAATGGGTCTAACAAACTTTTAGGCACAAGTTCACAACCCTTAGTGCATGAACTTTGGCCCCAAAATTTTATTGATTGGCTGATTATTTATTTAGACTATTTGGATATTTTTTGTTTGTTTGTTTTCATTTTAAACCGAAATACCCAGTTCTTGATCCTTCTAATAAGGAATACTATCTGGGTAGGTTTCCACTCCCTCCACCTCCCACCCACCCCCAGCCTGTCTACCCATTCCCAGTGCAGATCCTGGTGGTGGTACAAGTTAGCCTGAGAAGACATCCATGTTTCTTCCATAGGGACCCACTCTCTCCACTACCACTACCTGACCCTGTCAGAGCCAGGGCCAAGCCTCCCCCAGTTTCTGGCAGTGGGCTATGTGGATGATCAGCCCTTCATCCGGTATGACAGTCGCTTGAGCAGGGCCAAGTCCCAGGCCCCATGGATGACACCCATGGATGCCCAGTACTGGGAGAAAGAGACCCAGAAGCATAGGACCTGGGAGAAGGTACAACACGTGGAGATGTGGACCTTGATGGGCTACCACAACCAGAGTAGTGGTGAGTCTGGGCCGCAGTCCTGGAGGGTGGACTGGTGAGGG